GTTGTTGTTTTTTCTCTTTTTCATTTCAATGCTACAGAATTAAATTCTGTTTTTCGATCTATTTCGAACTAATGTGAGATGGCGCTGATCAGCTGCGTTCGCATAAAAAAGTTCCCAATCTCATATACGTCAACCCCGCTTGGTTTGCCCCCACTAATGAATGTTAAATTAATTTTCTTCTCTTCTTCTACGAGTAATTTACGTTGTATGAGTAAGTATCGTTTGCAATTACATCAATTATTATTTTGGTTTCATTCATTGTAGACTGCTATTGATTTATTAATGGTGATTTAACTATTTTGTGTTTCTTTTCTTTCTTTTTCTCCTGATTGAAAGATAGTGGCCTTGGCAACCAGTACTATTCCATAGTAAGCATATTAATGTTTTTCTCTTTTCACAGTGATCAGCGATCTCAACACTGCTAATACTATTACCAAATCTCAAATTTAAGCAATGTTGTTGTGGTCATTGACTTAATTGCAAAATCAATGCTCACAACAACATTGTTTTATTTTGAGGTTTGGTAGTAACAGTAGTAGTAATGTTGAGAAACTATATACTTCCTTTCATAATTTTATTTTCCATCCTGTTCCAATATTCTGATTAACTCTAGGTAGAAATAATAATGTATGCCATTGTTTAAATTTGAGGTTTGGTAGTTTAGGTCGTGATTCCGTGGAAGAAAAATAATCTGTCTTACTTCAGTGGGAGACGCATCTCGTTTGATGCATTCATCCGCTAGGTATCACTCCGACTGAAATCGGCATTTATTTTAATATCTTGAAGCATACACAGTCCATTTGAAATTGTAAATCATATTACGCCACGTGTTCGTTGTACCTTGTCGATAATTACATTTGTATGTTCACCTTTGTGGTTCAATTCGTTTAAAATAAAGAAATGTACAACTTTTGTAAACGCAATACAATGTTTGCCACCATAGTCTATATCGCTTTCACTCTGATCACCATCATTCATACATTCAAAAAAGCTTTTGATATTGTGATTATTTCAAATGCATGTAATGGTAGTAATGGAAACAAAATCAAAAGAATGGATAAATAAGTACTGGTAAGTAATTCTTTACCCGGTTTTAATCTAATGTATCCCGTTGATTGTATCATTGGATCCTACGGCAGAATTAAAATGAAGAAATGAAGAATCATTTATACTTTTGTTAAATATTGTACCTCCGTGTTTTTGTAAATCAGTTTGGCACCCGTTTCTCCTTTACCCGGTTTTATACTGATGTATCCCGTTGATTGTATCATTGGATTGACTACATTGCTAATCGGATCTAAATTCAAACCCGGGCATTGCTCTAATTTTGGTCTTTTATGTTCAGTTGGTTCGACATTTGAGAAAATGCTTGCCTACGAAAATACGGAATATAGTATACGAAATATTCTTACATCCTATAACACTTACATCCCCACATGGACTTTTAGTACTGAAAAAATGAAAAGAAATATCTTTACTTATTTCAAATTTTCTTTTCACATGGTTAAAAGTAAATATTGAATTGAAAGATTCGGCTAGATTGATTTCTTCATATAAATAAGTCAGGAAACCACGCCGGCACATTATTTCTGCATGACAATCATGTAATATATCGCCTTTATTGCTCAATAAATTTCGGCCAACACATTTTGTGCCTACGAATAATAATAATATCATTATTATTTTTTTAAATATTTACCCGTCCCCCAATCATATGATTGATATACATTAGAATTACTTACCCGTCCCTACTGATACAACTTCAAGGCTTTTTGTTCGATGTTCATATTTTACACAACAACACAATACAGTCCATTCCCCCAATTTTGGCTTTCCAGTTTTTGGTAAGGTATCAAAAAATCTAAAACAAAATCAAACAATTATTTGTGTATAATAATAGACAAACGAAATGAAGTCGATGAATGTGTACCTTAAACATAATTTAGCCAAATCATGTGGGTCTGGCACCAACATTTTAATTATATTATTTTCGTATCCAAGAACAAATGGAGTATGTAAGGTGTTTCTCGCATTTGAAAATAGAAAATAAGTATCGCCAAATAGAAGATCAAAAAATGCTGTGTCATTTAGTTGTAATCAGATTGTAATGCAATTAATATTCATTTTTTATTTATTGAATTAACGAAAATATGCTGACGGTTCACCAACTTGAACTGAATATGCAAAAGTGTCATTTCACTTATGACGTTTCGTTAAGGTGTGTTTACATTATTTGTATTTATGAAAATAGTATTTTCAATTGACTTTTCAAAGAGAAATAAACTCGATTGCACAAAATATGTTGTCATTGTCGCGATATTATCAATATCGTTATTATCATGTGCTCGGAAATCTCAAGTTCACTTTATATTTTTATCTAATATGAAAGCTATTATGCAGCTATTGTTTATTTTTTCGTTTATATTTTTAGAATAATGTCTGCAATATGAAGAAATCCGTATGATTCACCTGAAAATTCGTATTGGAGGGTTTTTTGGTACGGGAAAGCAGAATCTGGCCTTTGTTTAGCGAAACAATAACGTTGATATATTTACTTTTTTTTACAAAATTCCATCATTTTGTACTAATAATGCTACATCTAGAATATTCAAAGTTTATAGGTTTTTTGTGGCTACAAACATTTTTGGAGTAACACTAATTAATTAGTTGATTGGTAAATTCCCGTCGATTTCAAATTCCAAAAAATCGTTTATAACATATGTCCATAAAGTCTTGACAGTAAATTCACGCGTTTATTGCGCCACATAAACAAAATCAAAAATATCAACCAATGCACACGGCACGTTTATCAGTACCTCGGGACTACTATCAAACTCAATTCGATGAAATACATCCATTCGCGGAGACGTACAAACTGGATTTACGAAAAAGTGTCTCAAATGGTTGTGGCGGCTAAGTTCAAAACAAATTTCGCATGTGTCTAAAGATGAACCCATCTGCCTACGAACCATATATTGTGTTTCATGGACTTAGTATGAAGATAAAGATTCTAGAGAAAGCAAAAAGTACGGTCGTATTCCCTATTTAAATGCTCCAACTCTCCAAAATTGTAATCAAGTACCGAAAACCGGGTTGGTCAAGCAAAAATTCGTTTTTGGTGATTTTTATGGTTACAGCACATCAAAATTTGAACCAAAACAATAGATTTAGACCCAGTCATTAGGAATCAGCAAAATAAGTAATGAAAAAATTCAATTGGGTGTCAAAAATTGGGTATTTACTTCATCTCATAGCATTTTGCACTGAAAAATTCATCATTTTGGACAGTGAAACATTCATCGCTATGTCAAACCACGAATCAAGTGCAAGTGGTTTCTTTTGCATTGATTATGTTAGGGCACTACTATATAAGGCTAGAGACGTCGACAAACCGAACTTTGATAAAGGCGTGTTTGTATGGTAGGATCTTCTTTGGAAGGTGTTTTAGAGCCAATATTCGAGAATTTGGTGCTGAAACGTAGGGTAAAACCTCCATTACATGCTCCATTATCAACCATTTGTTGTTGAAATCGATAGAATTCATTGAGAACTATCTGATTTAACACAAAATTTTGGTTTGCAAACAGAAAAAACCACAATAATGGCTCACTTCTTAAAATATGACATTTCCGTGAAAAAAGGACCATCTGTTTAACTTCACAAAAAGACACCAAATTAATTATTTCTCGTCTGTTTTTGGATGAAAGTTATAGGCGAAGGTCCAAAATACTTGAAACAAGCAACAATTGAACCGTTGCGAAACATTGTTACCCTCAGAAAAGTTAAGAAAAAATCATCAACATAAATTGGAATGTAAATCAAACGTCAACATATACGAACTGAAAATTAGAGAGCAACAATTATACATTGAGAATCAATGTGCAACATAGCTCATGTTGCAGATTGTTCCCGAAATTCACAATGTTGCTCTCTAATTTCGAATTCTTATATGTTGACTTTTGATTTGGAATTTTATACATACCGAGTTTCCGAGAGTTTCATATAAGCGTGCCATGTAAGAGCAGAAAAAGAGGCCAAAATCACAAAAAATCTCCCGATCGATTTTTCTCGCATTTCCGAGGAAATATCGCGAAAATAACGGAATTAACGTGAGCACTTAACTTCCAGAACACTTTAGACCAGGTCGGATCCACCTACTCCACAGGAATAATTTCCAGTTCCTTTAGATAATTTGTTCTGGAAGTGAATCCCATGGAACAGTGGATCCAACCTGGTCCAAATTGTTGTGTACCGTAAGTATTTGACTCTGAGAACATGTTGTGCCTGGTTGCATTCATCTGCTCCTCAGGATTCACTTTCAGAACAAATGATCTAATTGAGCTAGAAGTGAATCCTGAGCTAGAATGCTATCTCGCTCCCTCTTGCATGTATGAATGTTTAAAGCCGACATTCCATTCACATACATCGAGCATTTATATTTTGCTGCGCAATAAAAATCGTCGACACAAAACTCAAAGCGATTACATTGTCAACAATTTTATTGCGCAGCAAAATATAAATGCTCGATGTTTGTGAATGGAATGTCGGCTGTAAACATTCATACATGCAAGAGGGAGCGAGATAGCATTGGAAAACGGTTTGGGTGAGAGAGATAGCAATTTTTTACATTCTGATAACACCAAATAATGCAGACAATTTTGTTGTGTATTAGAATTGAGAAAAAAAAATCCGTTTTTTTTTTTTGCTTTTAGAGTGCATTGTACCGAGTCCCCGAGAGTTTCATATAAGCGCGCCATGTAACATCAGAAAGAGAGATCAAAATCATAAGAAATCTCCCGATCGATTTTTCTCGCCTTTCCGATGGGAATTTCGCGAAAATAACGAAATTTTACACTCCTTATAAAATTCCAAATCAAAAGTCAACATTTAAGAATTCGAAATTAGAGAGCAACATTGTGAATTTCGGGAACAATCTGCAACATGAGCTATGTTGCACATTGATTCTCAATGTATAATTGTTGCTCTCTAATTTTCAGTTCGTATATGTTGACGTTTGATTTACATTCCAATTTATGTTGATGATTTTTTCTTAACTTTTCTGAGGGTAACAATGTTTCGCAACGGTTCAATTGGTTGCATGGATTGAGAGAAAGTTGAAAGAAATCGACATATTGGTCCGCCAAAGCATGATTTTGAAGGTTCGACGCATACTGAGAAAAATCGAAGACAATGGCCCGTTCAGTGTAAGGTGAATGTGCTATTCGTAGCCCATTAATGAAGGTTTATACCAATAAAAAAGAATTTAATTTTGTATGTTTGTTGTTCAAATGGCGAACATCTGAATTTACTGTCAAGACTTTATGGACATATGTTACTACTAAAATGTACAAATTATGTATATACATGAATATGTAGCAACTTTTTTTTTATTTGGCTTTTTTTTAAATGAACATAACAGAACCTGGACAACATCGAAATTATAAATGGCAACCGTGAAAATGACTGAAACCATAAATAAATCCGGCCTCAAATTTGATCGTGTACACTGCAAGAAATCTATTACTGCAAAAATTGACATTGGTATATGCCAATGTCAATTTTTGCAGTAATAGATTTCTTGCAGTGTATTTGTGTCTAGTAATGTGTGAATTTGCATTACAAATTGTTTCTTGGGTATTAATGGTTGACAGTGGTTTTTCATAATATAAATGTTTAAAATAAATATCCCTTCTCCATTTTGTATGAGTAACGAATTTATTTTCAAAATTTTTGTAAATAATCAAGCAATCGAAATAAATGTAGTTCTGTTTAGTCACTTTAGAGTCTTATCAGCTTTCCAAACAATTTTGAATATGAGATTCCAAATCATTAATCTTTTTGTAAGCAACCGAACATAAGGGACAAATGAATTTTGAACTTTCTTCAATATTAACATTCGAAACAATTGATGTCAAACTTGCTGCTGATGTTTCATTATAGCTGCAAAAAAAACAAACAAATATGAATAAATATATCATCCAGAGATTCGAATTATAGGCTTAATCACACTTTAGTGACTGTTTCCAAAATTGATTTATTTCGTATTTATGATGTATCTCGAGTCAAATATGTTGTGTAATTAGGATAATTTTTTTTCGGAACCCCCTTAGTAACCAAAAAATTTGGGTCGGTAGGGGGATAAACAATTCAAGTTTTTCCCTGGAAGGCATAACTCCCATACTATGGGGGTATGGTAATATTTTTTCATATTATATTTAAAACATAAATAAAAATGGGAGGGAGTTAAAAGAAAGCACAGGGCCGAACGAGCGCGTACGCGATTTTGTGAAAAAATGTTATATGACGGCCTTATAAGAAAACAATAACATACAGAACATGCTGCAAATAATACTAATACAAATTTTATGAGAGAAAAAACCAAATATATAAAGAGACAGCGCAAAAGGCAAATGCAAAACCAGCCTACTTACATGTGTTTCTTATGTAAGTAGACTGGTTTTGCATTTGCTTTTTGCGCTGTCTCTTTATATATTTGGTTTTTCCTCTCATAAAATTTGTATTATTTGCAGCATGTTCTCTATGTTATTGTTTTCTTCTAAGGCCGTCATATAAAGTGGTATACAGTCTGTTATACTGGTATATGGTGTGTTATACGGTCATATACATGGTATCCGATCAAGGGGAATGTCGCAAAGACCTAGAATTATATCATTCGGAATAGGTCGAAATAGATTGGAATAGTTTGGAATTAGTGGTAATATTCAACAAATACGCCGATATGGTGACAGGAACATTGAGTTTTCAATTCAGTCAGAAACATTTCAATATTTCTGTGAATATAATTTTTGTTGTAAATGTTTAATCAAATAAAAAACCTCTGACGAGGTGAAAAGCGAGTGACAAAACCAAAATGTGAAACACAAAAGTTCTGATATCAATTTTATGACAAAAATAAATGATTGATAATTTTTCTGTCTACTGTGAATAAAAACTTAATATACATTTGAACATTCAAAACGTTGGAGAAATTCCACTATTTCTACTGTCAGTATGGACTGATGACTAGACTGGCCCCCAAAGCACAAAAGTTGAAATTTGTTCGCTCCTACCTCGGAATACTTTTCCATATGGTGTGCAAATAACGTGTGTAAGGTTTCATGCCGATAGCTCAACTCTAGATGATGCCGCGAGAGCTCGGTAGGTCATTATGTGAATTCATTGAAAAATGACGTTTTCAGTTAAAATAAAAATATCTTCGCACAACCATATCGGCTAAAAATTGATGGTAATCGTCATTTTCCATCAAAAACCTGCCACTGGTGAGTTTTCAAACGATTTGAATGAAAATAAAACACATTTCCATGCAAAATTTTCATTTTTTTGACCAAAAATTCCAATTTCATCACCAAAAATGAAGGTTTTGTAGCAAAAGTACGACAAACCTCAACAAATTAATCTCAT